CAAATTGAAGCTTCAAAATCAACTCTGACTTCACCAGCTCAAATTTTCTGCAATCCTACCGTCATACCCAAGGCAAAGCAGATATGCCGGCTGCTCAAATTAATCACTGTAAACCCAACCAACCAAAATCGAGTCTACCGTCGGCTACTCAGAGTAGCCTACTCTAATCGACATCATCACACACCAAAAAGTAGAAACCTGGAACTTGCCAAGGAAATGGTGGGGTACGTTTTCTCGCTCATGCAATGTGATTTTGTTGTCGTGATGCCAACTGCCAAGGACTTGGATTTTATCGGAGTTGATGATCTCCAAAGAAGTGAAGTTGGAGGCTAAGTCTACAGAAAGCTTTGATCGTGGCTCCCAATATCATCACTATCTTCTTATTCCAACAAGTTCGAGTGGAGGCGGTTGTAATGGTGGTCATATGGGTTGTTCTCATAGAGGTTGAGCAACCCTATGGCAACTCGCATAGCTCTAGGAATATTTGGTAGTTTTAGAATGTAATTAATACGTTGTTAAATATTTTAATTCACTAATAGTGTATTAATCAAATTTGTTAATTTTTTATGGTATTGAGCCTAATTTTCCCTAATATCTTCCAAACAAAGCCCAAGCCCAAGCCCAATAGAAAATCTAAATCACAAGTAATTCTATATTACTTTTTTTACTTGATACTAATATAGAAACTTTTTCAAAACACAAGTATGATCTTGCTGTAAAGAAAGCAGACCTAATATCATTAAATTATTTTACTTTCACATTTTTATTAATTAAGAAATATACCACTTTGACAAAGGAAATCGAATACAATAACAACTTCCTTTCAACCACAAAATTGCCCTTACGTCACAGTACAAAAAATAGGAAGAGGTAAAAATTATTATATATTCTCTATGTTAGTAAGAAATATTTAATTTAATTTATGATTTTTACATTTGCATTTTTATATTTAATTCCTCAACGAAAAACTCAAACGTGTGTACCTATTCCTTTTGCATCTCAAAATGTTAGAATGTTAAATATTATACTTGTCGAATATCTCGAGTTATAAGATGAGTTTTATTTTGCTACTCTCTCTTGAATTACATGAAATATTCGTTTTAATATGATATGTTATTTGTTCAAATATTTAAGTAGTGTTACGACCATATTAAAAAAAAATTACGCTTGAGGGCCTCAAAAATATTAATCGCCTAGAGCCTCCAAATTCTCGGGGCCTGCCCGACGACAACTCCCAACACCAAAATCACTACACAACTCCCAATCGCCACAACTCACCAACGCTGCCTCCTTCTTGGAGTCCTTTGAAGCCAATTATGTTCAATTCCACAAAGTTGTTGAACTCTAAAATTTTTGAATCTGCAAAAATTGGACGAGCAAGAAATGGGACTAGATTGTCAAATCCATTCTCCCTCACTATATTCTGGATTTTGATTGAAGAGCACTATAAAGTGTAAGTTGGTTTTTTGTTTGTATGGCAACGGCGAAGAGTGGGGGGTTTTAAAGGCAATTCGGTGCTAGTGGCTAAGACCATGGAATTGAAATGGGAATTGCAGAAATTGGTCAAGGCAGGATTTTAACTTGGAGGCAATTAATAAAGCCCAACAAATCAGATTTGATTTTGTTCACATCATTTTCAAACATTAATTAATATGTCTGTGTTTGGATTTGACAACTTGAGAATTTTGTTACATTGTTTTGGTTTTGGCAGCTTGATGGTTTTTTTTTTCCTTCCTCTAGACATTGAACTTGATTGCAATTCGTTGAGGTTGCTAACCATGGTGTTGATTCTGTTAGGCAAATTGTTGTCAAACGACCCTCCCGGACAATGATGAAATACGTTGTCTTAATTCAGTCGACATAGTCCAAATGACTGAAAGT